GATCGGTGATGAACATAGGCTTCAAGCTTACGGTGCAAGTTCGTGCAATCCACAAAAGCATCATTTGACCTTGTGGCCTCGGTGGCTTCCCGATGGATCTACTTCAAGATGATATTGTATTGAAGGGCAGTTGAAACGAACTATATCGTCCGATGTTCCCGAGTGAAAGAAACGCTCTCCATGTCTCGATGGAAACGCAGGGTTTCACTCGGTCGCTGTGACGATGTTTTTGTGTCGACAGGACAGGCAAACCCGGTCGCTCACCGGTGTTTCCGAGGGGTACGATGATGTCTCTTCTGCACACCCTGAGGCATCATTCCCAACATCAGCAGCTCTGGAAAGACACCAGGGACCTTCAGGTCTTGAAAAGCACCCTCAAACATGACATGGACCCCCATGTGACACCATGTGACTACAGTGTCTATTAGCAGTCCGAACATCGAATTCAATCCTGTAAAGTATACACGTCGTTGTTCTTCCAGATTATGCAGGATTTTGTCCATCAACTCAATGAACCCAATTCTTCACTGCAGTGAAACAACTGCCTCCAGTTTTCGTTCACTCGGCACTCGCGATCCGTGTGAACTGCAGGTGGCCCATGGTGAGAGAAGATGGGTGGCGGATAAGACCCGTGCGAGGTCTTGAGCGAGTGTGATTTGATGCGGCTGATCGATCCATGCTAATTAATTATATCATAGTCGGTTGATCCCAGTGGCATCGCTTGGGCCTTGATCTGGGCAGCCGCCCACTGTAAATGCCTCCCGCGGCGCTCCGCGGCCGCGACGATTGGCGCGCTTCGATGGTCAAATGCTCCATCGAACGACCCGCGCGCGAAAAGAGACGCAGCGATGATGAGTGAAGTCTTGAGATGTCTTGAGGATGCTTGGAGGTGCTTTGAACGAACTGCTTGTGGCCCATGACCTACCTTGGTCACCATGATTCCATGCCGAACTTTTCGAAGCACCGAAAGTGTATCACATGATTCACATGGTGTGTGTTTTCTTTTTTGTTTTGTTCCACATTTGTGTGGATTTCAGTGGGTAATTCTTCAGTCACTCAACTCCGTCGTCGATCGTCACCGTCGCCGACCCCGAGGAGCGCAGCGATGTGCCGAGTCCCGAGGAGTTCTACCAGACGTGCCCGGGACGACCGCGGGCTGGTCGAACATGGGGATCTATAGGGGGATCTAACGAACGGAGCGTTCGGACGATACGAACGGAGCATTAAGGGCATCGCTACTAATTAGGAGCGATCGAACGCTACTGACTCGGGGCTCCTGGCCTTACTACTACTAGTAACAAGGGCATCTATAGTATAGATGGGTTAGTTAGGGACAGTTCGGAGGTCCCCCAAACATTTGGTTCCTCCAATTCCGCCATTTGCCATCGAAATGTAGTGGGAACAAATCAAAAGAGGCGGTCTCAGGCGAACTCTTCAGATTTCTTCAGACGTTTTTTTTTCCTGGATTTTTGGGGTGTGTTATTTTTCGCAGGGTTGGATTTCCTTTGAAACACGTCCCTTTTTTGGCAGCGAGTTCTCTCCCCCAAATACATGACTGCAGGGAAAAGGGGCACGGGTCAGCAACTTCTGAAAATCGTCAAACTTACAAACTCAGGTGGAACTGAGGGCAGCTAGACTTGGTCGCTTTTGGAGTGTTCACCAGCTAGTCACCGAGTCTTTGGGTGAGGTATTCCTCTGCGGATGGTGGATACGGAAGGCTGGGGGGGCCGGGGAGAGTGTCGAGGAGTCGGACCGAACCACCGGGCAGTTGGCTGAAAGACCAGTTGGGCGCTACGATAAACCAACATATAGATCATAGGTTTAAAAGATGGACCTCTTCAAGAGAACTCTTTTCAATCACACGATCATCTTTTCCATATTTGTGGTAGCTGTGGGGAGTATGACAGGACAGAGAAGATCTAGTGGCTCCCTGCAAGAGATTGGAGAACATCTCTTCATCAATCATGCACCATTTTTTGCAAACCTCCCCACAAGTGTTCATGGCCGCATTTGGTTTGACATGCTGAACCGTGTATTGTTATTTTCACTGTTATCAATTATGTATAGTTTGAGTGTATCATGGATCCCAGTATTTTATGTGGTGCAGGATGAGTAAAAATGTTTTTCCATCAGAATCCATTCTTTTCACACCTTTTCACTTTGCGTAGGCAACGCTTGTGCGCGACGGAGACAGTCCTACAATTGGGCCAGCACACGGGCATGCTTCACTCAGCAAGTGTCACCTTCAGATTGGGGAACTCAGCCAGAATCTCTTTTGATTGAGCTGCGATCCAAACCTCTCCAAATGGATGGTTTCGTGAGGATTACTGTACCAGCAACCAGTCTGTTGAATTGAACACCAAGATGCCCAGTATGTAAGGCTGTAAGGCCAGCTTAGCTCGGAAAAGGGAGGGTTCAAGATTCAAGACATTTCAACTCAGCAGAGTCAAGTCAATCTTCCAATCTGAGTGACACGAATCTTCCCCCCCAACCTCACAGCCTTCCCTTGGTACGAGGGCGCGCCCAAGACTGCTAGGCCCGTGGTGTTCCGAGGGGCTGCTAGCCAATGGCCACTGGGCTGGTGATGGAAATCCAGGGAGACTCTACATAGGTTGCCAGGATGTCTGGCTGGAAACAGTAAGTTGCGGAAGAACTGGACATGTCTTTGCATGCACGCAAGCGGCCAGTGCATGATTTTCCTCAGCAAGACAGGCCGCCATCGCTTTGATCTGAGTTGGCATCTATCTCATCTCACTGCTAAAGAATCCAGAATCCCAGAGACAAATGCAGGTGAGGTATTTTTTACTTGCCAAAGAGGGAATCGTCAGGGCCTTTGGCACATTGAGGGAAAAGATGGCCTATGATGCACATCACACCTATGATGCACATCACACTGTATCCACACTTGCAGTTTCTTCAGACCGAACATCGGTAGCTCCAATTGATCTTTGGTTTTTAACCCCTTCTCACCACACATCCCAACGTCGGAACCGGTTCTTGCAGCGACCCGGAACCCACCTCCCTTAAAACCGCCGGTTCCGGCACCGAACGGGACCGGAACCGAACGGGACACCTCCAAACGGACGGACTCTTTGGGGGGGCTCGTCTCATCTCCAGGAAAGCCATTGGATGGACCTCCGACGAGGACCTGCTCCAAAGGCGGGGAGTGTGTCTAGACGGGCGACCCGCGGAGGCCCGAGTGGACGGGTTTGGCAAGCGCGGCTCTTTTCGCCGCCCCGGTGTTCTGGGCGGTCGACCGCTGGAAGATGCGAGTCGATCATGGCGGCGTCGTGTGGTTTGTTGGTTTTTGGTTTTGCACGTGGTGGCGCAAGAGTGCTGACATGGGAAGGGGTGGGGGAGACGAGTTCTTTTTTCATTTTTCTGGCGCAGGCGAGAGAGAGAGAGAGAGAGACAAAAAATGAGAAACGCTCTTTTGCATGGGATGATTTGACTTCTTGTCCTCTTGGTCAAGTTCACCTCAGATGTGTGCCTCCAACATATGAAAGCTTTCAAACGTTTCGTGTGATGTCCAAGTCAAAGTCTGGTTGTGAAGACTTGACGAGGTTTGGTTCCGAAGCAGTCACCGGAGTGGAGCACAACTTGAAGGAGACTCGTGCTGGTGGTCAGGCCAGTCAATTTGACAAGCCCTGCGTGAAGATGTTGATATATCATTAATCACCAATCCTATTTGAAGTGGAGCACCAGTCCAGTTGAATTGAACCAGATACTTACTTTGTAGAGTCGTAGAGGTTATGGCACAGGGGATTTGGAGTGTTGAGCCAGTATGAGTTTTCACCCTCACTTCACATGCACCTTCACATGCAGCTTCGCATAGCTTCGCTAGCCTTTGTTTGCTCATGAAAGGAAGCGAAACCATAACTTCACAGGTTGACGGCATGAACACCTTCGGAGATTTCCTGAAAGCGTGACCAGGGTTTGTGCGTTTGTCAATCCTTGGCCCATTGCAGAACATGTATTTAATTGGATGTATTAAATTTGGTACAAGGCTCTCTTTACTTGCTGTTTCTCTTGAAACGGTTTCCTCTCTTCACTTACTGTTTCTCGAAATGTGATTTCCGCATGTCGTAGAGCAGTCTGGACCAACATACTAGCACATATCAAGTACATGCGTTCTTGTCATCAAGGTCTGATTGGACATTTTCAAGGCAAGGTATATAAGTGATTCACTCGCCTGACATGCCTCAAAGGTACAATACTTCAGACATTTACATGGTATCGGGGGTTCGTTGCCCCAGATTGCAGACCAGTCTTGACAAGATGCCCATCGGCGGTCGTGTTTTCTTTTTTTCAGGAAATGGTGCAGTTTTTTGACACACTGGCAATGAAGGAGAATGAAGGGCACATGCCATAGCACAACAAGACAGCTTCCAAGTGCAAAGCCTTTTTGAACAAGATGGATTAGGTTATATATACAACTGGTTGAGGTCTAGGAGAAAGTTGACATTTGCTTTCGTTAAGAGGTTTGGGTAAGAACGCAATGACAGTTAGCAGACTGTTGTCTCTATGGGTGTAGAATCATCTCAGTGTGCCACTGCTCTGTAGGCCCTCGGTGCTCCTTTTTGCCAATGGATTGTGAAAGTCGGGGTATCAAGTATCAAGGGCAAAATTCTATCAGCATTTACAGGACCAAACTGAGTAAGCTCAAGATAACCCAAGCGCCCATCATTTGGACATGTCTTGCAGACATGCAGCAATCTCCGAGTAGATTGGCTCACCAGTGACATGCTCTGTTTGTACCAGGCTGTACCAGGTACCTATAGGATCCGATAGGTGGCTAGTGATTGGCTTTTGTGACCAGGTACTTCGAAAAAGTCACTCCACGATCATTTGACCCGTTGGATCCATGGAATGGACGTGTGGCAGCTTTGGAGTTGGTTCGAACGAGCTTGTTGGAAGCCCTCATGGAATCTTGATAGACAAAATGGATCCCAATTGATCCCAATTGTATATAGATTCATCATGATTCATCCGATTCGGAGCCCCTTCTTCGGTTTCATTCCTTCGACCACGACTCCCACATAGTCCCACCACCATTTGTATCGCGATGGCCTGGACTCCAGTGCTTGGCCTATGCTGTATGCTTGGAGGTTCCTTTTGCTTCTCACTGATGGCTCTCTTAGCTGCAGAGCTGGGCTCCGGCAGAGCCTCACCTCATAAATTCGAGCCCTTCGAGCTTGTTTTTTGGCGCTCGCTCTTCATGCTTGGCATCACGTTGGGCAGTTCCCTTGCCAAAGGCGTTCGACCGCTGGGGCCGTCGTCTGGGAAGATCCGGCTGATCTTGGTGTTTCGTGGCCTCTGTGGAGTTGCTCAGCTGAAATGAGGAACTTGGAAGTCCAGGCTTTGTATCTGGTATGACCATCGCTGCTAGGGTGGAGACCATCGCTGCCATCGCTACTGAAGAACCATTTGACATCATCTGACCCCTGCCATGACTGGGTCTCCCCAGTGCCATGATTCCCAAACAGGGTGAGGTTCGTTCTTTGGTGCGTCGTCACCCAGGGTGTCTGTGGGCCAGACAGCTGGAAGCACCAGACATGGTGGTTTGGTCGGTAACGTCGTGTTGCGAGTGGTGATCCGTTTGTTCTTCTGTTTTCTTGGATGTATTTGTATTCAGGAGGTCTTAGAGGTCAAGAGCAAGTGTTTGAATCGAATCCCGGACTGATCATTGATGGAAGGACGGTACTGATCAAGTGGGAGCGGTCGCGGCCTATTGAGGTGGGCTTTATGGCGGCCTATTACTATTCACTGGCGGTACTTCCAATGTCCGACGCAGTGGTGCTCACCTACACCAGCCCTGTCCTGACTGCAGTGGGAGCGACGCTTCTTCTGGGAGAGGTTTGGCATGGCCTGGATTTCCTGGGCTCTGGGCTGTGCCTGGCTGGTGTGATGATGACCACCTGGTAGTGCTTAACATTGCTTTTATGTATATATATATATACAGATTTTTACACCTGGACATCTGCAAAGTTGGAGATTTCCAGTCCAGTATACTTTTTGTGGAGCCCAAACTCATGTTTTTTTCGTCGATTCCATGATTAACACAGTTCTTTTGGTTCTAGGCTTCTAGGATGTTACTACTAGGTACTTGACATCGTGACAGTATGCTTTTTGCATTCTTTTGGACATCCAGGATCAGCAAACCTCCAATCCTTTTGCATCTGCTGGGCTTGCAGGAGGAAAGCGTGGAGCTTTCACCGCTGGGCCTGCTGGCTGCCTTGCTCGCGGCGTTTTGTGCCACCGCTGTGTATTTGGTGATTCGAATCCTCAAGGAGCAAGTTGTCAATGTGCTCAAAAGAGCCAGCTTTTGAGCTTTTGAATTAAGAGCCAGCTAGTCTTCTGGGAGCTGCTTGTAGAAATGTCAACAGGATTGATTGGATAGTGGTTCAGTTAAGCAAATAATGATATCGGATCAGCACGCGCATCTCTTCTCTTCAGGACAAAGATGTGCATTCCTTGGTCTTCGTGAACTATCTGGCCTTGGCTGCAGTGGTGACTTCTCCTGTGTCTCAGACCTGTTGGTGTTTCAGTCTTGGACTGACTAGATTAAACCGATTTAAACTGTTTACCGGTCCCCACAAACTCGGCTCGGCTGGAGTGCTTACAGCCCCGGAGTGTGTCAGAACGCTACCCTGTTGGAATGCAGTTGGAAGCCTCAGTGGGCAGCTCACCGACTCACCTAGCCTCCCTTGTTGCTAGTAGCGATGGCCTCCAACCTAATATCAACGGATTTTAGATTGTACCCTAGGCCGTTCCCTATTTAAGTGGCCATGACTGTCTCGTTTGGACCATTAAATAGCGATGGCCTCCACCTAGAAGGGCCCTTTGATACTAGTTCTTTTCACCTTCCAAGCCAGTTCCTAAGGTCTTGGGTGCTGTCTTAGAGGAACGCTGGGACCGAAGTGTGATCTTCCAGCCAGCGCTGGGCCTCCTCTTCCTGCTAGCAGCCCTGGCATCACTGGGAGAAACGCTCTTGGCGGTTGGCTTAAAGCTGGAAACTGCCGCGAAAGCCACATCCATGAACTACTTGCAGGCTGCTTTGGTCTGCTGTTGAGAACCCCATTCCTTTTTTCATCTTTTTTCAAAGGCAAGCTTTCGAAGTGACCTCAGCTTGTTTGTCTCTGATTCGTTTTTTGGGTGTCGTAAGACGTTTATGTCGATTCTTATGAAGTCGCAGCTGTCCAACCTCATCTCGTGATGGCCAGAGCTCTGTGACACTTTTCATCCAGGTGGTCTTCGCTTTCTTCTTCCAGGGCGATGTCTTGCACGAATCCAGTGACGAAGTGAGCAAGATCGGGGCACTGATGATTTCTACCTGGGGTGTGGTGGCGCTGGCAAAGGAGATGTTTGCTGAGGAGGAGAAGGCCGTTGATATGGTTTCTGGGATTGTTTCATTTGAAAGCCTCCAAGTTTCCTTCTGCAGGCATCCAATCCTGTAAAATATATGCGCGACTGCAAGGGTACCTGTCATTCAACAATATGCAACACTAGGGATTGATAGGGTCCAATATTTGACCGTCCGCAAACCCATGTTCAGGCAAACACTGCCAATGAGCCCCTGCTGAAGTGAAAGCACCGGATGAAGCCGTTGGAAAAAGAAGACGATAGCTGGACAGCGTTGGTGGCGAGGATCCCGAAGCACCAACAAACACCAACAGTTCAAATCCAAGAAATGCAAACAGGCCCAGGGTGTCTGGCCAGAATCCATTCAGCTGTTTCTCGAAGAGTGTCTAGTTCCACAAGCCAAGAAAAGATTGGAAAAACCACTTGCCCCCATCCTTTCCAAGCTTTATTCACGAGATGAAGCACCGTCTAAAGATTCACGTCTTTGAGGTTACGTTGCACGCCTTGACATGAGTTGTTGGTGAAGTTCAGTAGTGATTTATGTGGCGCTCAAAGGCCTCAGGCCGGCTCATACCCAGCAGGTGCGGTGTGGGTGCAGTTCTCTTCGCTAAGCTCCCACACAGGCACACGGGCATCTCAACTATACCTGCAACACAACTGCAGAATCCCTGGGGGAGTCTATCCACACCAAGCTTAATGAAGATATATGAAGATGATAAAGGGTTCCCACATGGCTATGGCTCATAGGGCGGTCCATGGACCAGTCGGCTTCAACCTGTGAGGTGCAGGGTCTTCTTTTTTTTGAGCCATGGCCATATATGATTCACTAGATCGGTTCAATTAGCCCACGGTGTCTCCAAGTAGTGGCCTACCGCGCCGCAGAGCGCCTGGTATACAACACTGCTTTTGTGAGGGTCTCAGGGGATGTTGGTCTCGTGGTCCTTTTTTACTTGGATACGTTCGCATCGATGTTTTTTGAAAAACTGGCTTTCCAGGGGGGATCGGGGCATTGCATCATGTTGCCATTCTCGGCGGCCCCAGACGGACGACTTCGGCGGGTGAGACGTAGATCCTCGGAAAACCGGCTCTCCCGAGCTGCGAGCGGCGCATATCTACTCTGACTAAGCCGGTTTGGTTGGAGGGGTGGCTGCTCAACATACCCAAGGTGCCCAAAAAGATGATGAAGGAGGTGGAATTCCTTCCCTGCCTCACTTGCGGTGGGCGGGGGGCTCGGGATGCTGTCGCTGGAAAACGTTCATCGGTGCGGTCGTTTGAGGGACGGCCTTTGAGCAGTTGAGGCTGACTTATCTGACTTTCAGGGTGAAGAGATGTGAAACGGCTGGTGATTTTTGAGGCAAAAATAAGCTGAACTCCAAACAGGCCCAAACCAAATGGCTGAAATCAATCTTGAAAGGTTTTTGAATTTCCTGGACACCCACAACTTCTGGATGGGCCGCGGCGGCAGCAAGTCCGTCGCCCCTCGGCGGAAGAGGACGCGGAGACGTGCGCGACGGGTGGGCTTTCCTGGATGACGCCTACAGGCCCTCATGGGTCGACCTACTGTACAACCCTTAGAGGTCACCAGGCGGCTTTGGGATGTCTTGGGGGTATTTTTGGGGGCTGTGTGGGGTTTGTCACATGCTCTCACCCAGCCTTCCATGGACCTTCGGATTGCTCCGAAGTCGTGTGTTTACAGTGTCTACACGTTCTTACTCTCTTACTCTTCAGTCTTTTCTTGTGCAAAAAGACCTGCAACTCTCACTCAGGGCCCTATCTCTTAGCGAGTTCTGGTCGTCAGCGCCAGTTCTGCGCGGTTCCGTCGGTTCTGGTTCGGTTCAGGTACCTCGCGATCGAAACCCTGTGGATTCACTGGGATTGTTCACTGGGGAACCTCTGTGCATGCAATGCTGGAGTCATACTGACCCCATCCCCTCATGTGTGGAGTTCACAGATGCGAACTCCCGAACTCATCTTTAGACCAATCGCCAAGTTGGCCAAGCAAACATCGCAACAATCTTCATGCAGGGTAGATGAGTGCCCTTAAGCCATTGTGTTGTATCCACCACTCTTGAGTTGTTGCTGTTGGTCAACAACGCGGAGTTTTCTTCCTGATTTGTTACATTTTGCCTACATATGGCATTTGATTTGGTCTTCTGCCTCAGGTGCACTATGATGATCAGGCCTGACAGATGTGGATGGGGGTGCACGGGTGCTGAAGCGACGACACAAATGAACTCATGGTGACGGATCTGTGGAGGGAGGGACCCTCTTCCAACGGCAAAGGAGATCAGGTGAAGTCATGAATCAACAGACCAATCAGCAGACCTTCAGCGTTCATTGAAGCCAAACACATACCTATAGATCTTCCATCTATATGAAAAATGTCCACCGAAAACTTGGCGGGTCGGTTCATAGATGGAAAAAACAATCATTTTGCACAGACTGTGCAGATCTAAATATGCAACTCATGCGGCTATCCATCTCTGCCATGCCCCACATCTTCCAACGCCACGCGTCGATGCGGGCGCAAAGCTCCTGAAGCGCGGGCCCTTCATCCGACAGCGCGGGGCGAAGAAGAGCAAACCGAATCCGACGTGGAAGGACAACATCAATTGCATGATCGCGGGTGAGAAGCGCTTCTACTTCATGCACCCCTCCTACAAGGACGACTTCGAGGTTCGGACGGGCGTAGTCCACATGGACTGGTGTTCTACACCGCCGGACGTGTTTGGAAGGACTGCTCTGAAGTGCCCGGTTGGTGCCGAAGTGTTGGTGAAAACACGTGAAACAGGGATGGGTTGACTGGGGTCTTTTCGGGTCGACGTAGCAATGCGGTCATGGGCCTCTGGGTTCATCAGCTGCGGAAGAACCGCTCAGGCGCATCCCAACAGCAAGAAGAATCGCTTCGGCTGGGTAGATACCGACCTGGACAGGCGCGACGTGACCGACTGTCCGCTCTTTTTGCAAACAAGCTGTGACGTGGGACCGGACATTGGACAGGCTAATCAGGCCGTTGTAGAAACATCCCTGGGAGGTCCGAAGCCAGGTTTGGGGAGTGTGCCGAAGTTGGCGATGATTGTTTTTGGAAGTGGCCGAAGTGAATAAAACATGTGTTTTTGGCATTGAGGCTTTGGATTTGGATTTATATTGAAAAGAACAGATGTGTTGCCGGTGATTCTGCGCGACTGTGCAGCCGATTGCAGCTGTCTCTTTTGCTCAGAGTCTAGGCACAGGAACAAAGATATCAACCAACAAACGGTGTGGCATCCTACAAGTTGACAAGACAGCTCTTAAAGCATCCAGACCATAGGATAAACCTCTCTCATCCAACCAGCCGCCCAAACTCGTGATTTCAGTGAACCAAACGCTCACGTTGCTTGCCGGTGACGACTGGCCTTTGGGGAGCGACCGCGCTCCGCAGCTCCATCATGTGGGTGCGGGCTCGCCCGTGCCTGGCCCTTCGAGCGGCCTCTTTGGGGAAGCTGCAGCAGCTTCAGGCGCACGTCAGGGTGATGCGATGGTTGCGGAGATTCCCAGTGGAGACCGCTGGCCCAACTAAACTAGCCATGGCAAGCTCAAAGCTCTTTTCTTTTTTTGGAAGGATCGCATGCTTTTGGCCATATGCGGTTGGAGGTTGTCAACATGAGGGCATTGGATGACGTGATGAACATCCATCAATCATGCTTGGCACGAAACGCAGGGATCAGGCTACTCACCGGCAAAACTTGCCATCCCTTGCAAAAAGAAGAATGACTGTACATACATACACCGCGGAAGAGATGGGAGTTTGTGAGACCGAAACCAACTGAGAGGACAAGTAGGCGAGTTCGAAGGGCCACTAGCAGATTGACATTAATATATACTTGTTTTCCATCAGAGGCAATGCTTTTGGTGGGAGGTGCTGGCCACTGTCATGTGATTCCTCGGCTTTTTGGTTGGGTCCCAACAACCACACCCCGACCAATACAGTAAGCCATTTGTTGGTCTTCGGCCTGTGATCCTTTCAGGCACGGCACTTTGCTGATCCCAGCCAGGCGGGCTTTCCACACACCCGGGACGGACGCGGCTTTACGCATGGTTTTTGCCAAGAACGTTCTGAACAGCCTGGAGACATGGATATTCAGTGCTTCCATAAAGTGTATCGTACAAATGAGTGATTCCATGTGATTTCTGCCTGCCATGTCAGTTGACTTTAGAGTCCCTTGATGGGTCTTCAGGGGTCAATCTACCAGGACGCAAGACACAGAAAACAACGTCAATGGGTTGTAGGCCAGACCTGACACACTTTCATGGCCTGTGAAACATGTGTCTACATCTCAGGAAACTCTGAAAATCCATCTGAGGAACACTGAGGGTGCAAGCTGAGACATATTGAGAAACAAAAGCAACGTATCCTAGATATATGTCCACTCCAACATGACCAATACAAAAGAACAGCGATGACATCTTCCACCCTGGCCAGGTCCGGCAGAATGTCTTCAAAGAGGCGGCCGGGTGAAAACAAACTCTCTCGTTGTTGGGGCCTCCCGCGGGCGCAGCCAGTCCGGTGTCCGTCGCCGTCGAATCGGCGACGGTCGCCGGGAGGTGATGAAGACGAAGCGCAAGCAGATTGGACTCTGGACGGGGCTCCGGAGCACGTGCGGCAGCCCGAGGGAGGACGAGTCAAAACCACCGCCTTTTTCCACCACCCGCTCCAGTAGTGGAGAGGATGGTGATGGCAGCGGATGCGAAGAGGAAAAGGACAAGAATGGAATGCTATGGAGGAGGTCAACCTACCAGATGATTTGGGGTTCTAAGTTGAATTCGCAGCCACATTTGTTTCTAGTAAGTGGAGGGCAACCCCAGCAATGGAATTCAATGGACATCAAAGGTCCGTATCTTTTTGCGTTCTTTATCATCCTCTTGCAGGGCCTCTCCATGACTGTTGAAATGAAACGTGGATCCTTGGAAGAGGATCTTCCTCAAGAAACCAGTGGTGACATGGGGTTCCATTTGAGAGCTTCGCAGATATCATGGTGGCTTGTGAGTGCCAGCTGGAGTAGTGGAGGTTTGACACTCATTTTTGGTTGGAACTATGTTCGACCCTTGGGAGGGCGTGATGTTCGACCCTTATAGAACGGTTTAGCTGGTACTTGGCTGCGATGTTGGAGCTCAAACTCCGCGATGAGTACGCAGAGAAGCAGATTCTTGTGATCTTCCTCTCCAGCCACTTGGATTTACTTAGTCAGGCTTAGTCGGCGGGTTTGACTGTTTTTCACAATCGACAACCTTCTCCTACACTCTCAGCTTGCAGGACATGGGAACTCCCATGGATCCCAGTGCAGGATTAATCTTCAACTCTTTTTCTTCATTTTGGCCTTACTAGGAGCAAGAAGCTACTAGGGGCTCCTGGCATCGCTACTAGGAGCAAGGACGCTACTAGGGGCTCCTGGCCGTACTACTAGGAGCAAGGACGCTACTAGGTTTGGTCCATCGAGGCCATGAAGTTGCAGCTGGTCTTATTCGCTTCTTTTCTTCCGGGGCTTGTGCACGCGTGGTGGGGCAACCCCCGCCGCCGCCGCACCCGCGTCCAAGTTTGCAATGATGTGGTGAAGCCAGTGGTGGAATCTGTATGGAGTTGCCAACCCGCCAAAACGCGCACTGCTTGGAGGGACGTGACCAAGTGGCACAAGACCAAGAAGAATGTGACCAAGTGGATGAATGCAAGCCGATGGGTGGTGCACACGGAAACCATTGAATACACTTTGCCTTTGGAAGACTTTGTGCTCCTTGCAAAAGAGCAAATTACTGAAGAGGTGCTGGCATCTTTGAAGAGTGGCATTGCTACCAACAGTCACCTTGACTCAAGAGGTGACGATCTTTCCAATGAAGAAGTGGCCCATATTGTTTGGGGCCCGAGCCAAGCAGGGAAGAGCACTCTCATTTGTCAGTGCCGCCAGCATGACGAGGATCCTTGTCCAGAGGTTGGAGATGGCAGTGGCGAATCCCAGACAAGCGACATCTCCATGTGGCAGACGACCTTTGGTTTCACTCTGGACACCATGGGATTGGGCGACTCATTGCTGCGATTCTCAAAGGAAGAAATCGGAAAGTTGGTGGCTGCTGGCATAAGCAGCGTAGCTGCAGCCAACATCAAGCGTGTGAAATTTCTGGTCTTTGATCCTGAGCTGCACTATGCGCATGTTTAACATTCAAAGGGTTAAGGGTGCTTCTGGATTTCCCATTGGAGTAGGGCACCATATCCTGCTTGCTGCAGGGACGCTTTAAGCAGAGTTGACTCCATGGCCATAGCTGATGCCTTGGTCTTGCGGCCAGGAGTCAATGGCAAATGACGCGTTGCATCTCAGAAACACGCTGCTCAACTTGTTCACTGCCTTCGGTGAAGAGGTTCGGAATGGCATTGTGGTCATTGCATCCAAGCCCAATCTGAGGCAAGGACGTGCTGGTGTGCAGAGGCTTGTCCTGATGCAGCAAGTCATGGCCGAGCAAGGCCTGCGTGAGCTCGTCCTGTGGAGAGGCCCGGAGAAGGATCAAGAAAGCGTGGAGGAGTTGAAGGCTGCGCTTGGCCGAGCAACTAGGCATGGTGAGCACGTTGCTGGGCGGGCCATGTGGCAACGGGTCACTATTAAGTCATGAGCAAGTAGCACAAGACTTCAGTATAGCCTTTGGTCAAGCAGTAACTAGAAGCCTTAGTAGCAGCCTTAGTGAATCTTGTAGACTGATCCGCTCAATCACAGGTCTGCAACTCCCAAGCTGATCTATGATTGGCCACAATCAACCGTTAGGTTTAGGGGAAGACAGATCCATCAAACCAACCTGAGGTATCCAGTGCAGAAATCTCTGCGCTCGATGATCTTTGGGACCGCGTTAATCGAAGAGCCCAAGAACTCTTTGAACAGCAAGTTCCCAGGACCAGCTTTTGCCCAACGAATTGATTAAGCTACAAAGCTGCAGCATTTGCATTTTGTTTGTTCCAATCAACAGGTTTCGGGTAACCAGTTTCTGTCTTGTCACACTCATCCAAGCATTGATGCCAATGTTTTGAATGACTTGCGATGAGAATCTAGGACATGCTGCATGCATGGCTTTGTCGCACCACATTAGCAACCCGCTTTATTTGTTATTCTGAAGTAGTCTACGACATGCTCTATTTGTTTGTCCAACATCAGTATTTGCTGGTGAACGAGATAGGGCCCCAACATGACGAGATATACTGTACGATATATGCTTCTTTTTTGATGACACTAAGTAGTCAGTCTGAACGAGATACAGTGAGATGACCTCCTACTTAAATAAGTACAGTCGTCTAAATGAGATAGGGCCCCCACATAATACAGTAGATAGTCTTATATAGTGTATTTGAGCTCTGTATTGAATGAATGCCGCTGCTCACATGCACTTGTTACAGTTGTCCTGGGGAAAGCGCGTCTCTATTTCAGGGCTGGACAGGTGGGTAACAGATTGATAGAAAGAAAAGCAGATGGACAGATTTACACTTTGTGTTCAATCTTTCTTGCATGTCACAAGTGTTGGTAATGACGCATGTGCACATATTACACATCACACTCACACTTCGTATCGATCAAATGACACCTGAAATTCGTGTCGTGCCCACTCTTGCTGAATTGTGAAGGGGCGCCCAATTCCATGGAAATCTTACATTGGCCGCTATGGATTCCGGACACGATTCCGTCCATGTAGTAGTTACTATACCTGGCTGGTCATTGTGATGGTCATTGCACAACACTCCAAAAGATATGAATTCTTCACAGTTTCCACTGTGGTTGCTGGTTGCATTTGCATAGTTTCCCAAATCAGTGTAAGCGCAGCTCAAGCTGTTCATGCGGTGTTGGATATGCTTCTCCGCTAGTTGAGGGCTCTTGAACCCAAGCCCTTGTGAACCAGATCAAAGCATACTGTACACAAGACTTCAACCTACAGGTGAAGGATATGTGGCACAAAATCAATTTTTGTTGCATAGTCAAGTGAACAGAGAGCAAATGGCAGTGCACAGATATCATTTTCTCGTCTGGCAATGTGATTTTCGTGTCATGTGGTGGCTCTTCTGGATCCAGGACGAAAAACATCTCTGTGGACGTTCTGGAAGAGTACTTAATTCCTGAAGAAGTTGAGGAGACATGAGGGTCTGGAATGCATCTGTGCGGGCTTTCAGTCTAAATCGACAGGGGCAGGTGTACATCGTATATGCCATGTGTTGGCTGGCAAATTTGTAGCCAAGGCTCACACACACACACACGATAGAACAATCTCATGCATTCAGGAAGAGGTGGAGGAGAAATACGTGGAGAGTGAGCCGGTTTTGGAACAATATGAAGGAGAAACATGCGAGTGGAGCAACTTGCAGAAAGACACCATTGTCCGAGAATGCAAATTGCACTGATGCGCATCCCATCTTCGGTTCTGGTAGAATTGTGAGAAGGCAAAACTAGCGGGGCCTCCGCTTCAAGCTTGAAGTGGAAGAACTCCCTGTTCCTTCTCCTTCCTTCGCAAAAGTTGTTGCGACATACCTTTTGAGCAGTACTTTTGAGCCGTTTGACGTACTGCGAGCGAAAGATGGGTGGCCGTAGGTTCTTTGTGTCCAGAAGCAAGTTGGTTCTGGAATATTTTGTGCTTGTAGCTGGTCAAACTCATGGCAGCCAAGTCATGGCAGCCATGTTGAGAGGTCGCACATGGTCGCACTGCTTCCGTTTTCTGTTTTGGTTTCACCAAGACAAAGAACCGGTCAAATCTGTAGACAATTACCTGTCATCGCATGAACTATATTGACATATCGAACTCTTTGGATTGAATGTCTTCCGAGGTTGGTTGCTGAGATGCTTTCTCATGTCTCTGGCATGGAGCGCAGGGTCCGGGCAGTCTGGGTCATCCTTCACTGGCAGTGGATCAATTTTGAACACAACCGATATTGGACTCGAAGATATAGATCGTGTTATTCGTTGGGAGACGCGTTTGATTGATTTGGACGAGAAGCTGGGTGTTCGTTTCAGGAGCCAACGGCCAATCGCTCACTGACCATGTGTCGTTTTTTTGTCCTTTTTCTTGTCGCTCTGACAAAACCCTGTGCTTGAAGGAGACACGATTGGTTGGTGTCCAACTGTTGGTTCACTGTCACTGTTGGTGTCCAACTGTGGTTGGTGTCCAAAAACCCTGTTGGTTCTTGTCGCTTCACTGTTTGGTGTGCTTCACGAGCATGCAGGATTGGTTCGTGGTGGACATGGAGCACTCGCCCAACGAACTCAATGATGTTCTTCTTCAGCTACAGGCCAAGCCGGTGAGGGCTCTTGCTTGGAGAGGAGAACTTGAGACCGAAAAGAAGAAGAGAAAGGCCATGCCCATGGCTCATCAGTACATTATCCTGGAGACATCATACGCCCATCTATAGTTTTCCTTCAACACCTCAGATTCTCAGATTAGAATTTAGGAAAGCCTCCACGCATGCGGTCAGTAATTACTGGTCATGCCTTCACGAATTCTGGTGCCTATTGCTACGCCACGCCCCACACCACACAACCCGACTCGCACCACTACCCCCCGTCCGGTCCCTTTCGCAGGCCTCGCAGCGGGGGAGCGCCGAGCCGGTGGTGCGGGTGCCCTGGGCCGAGCCGGTGATCGTGAAGAGGGTCTTGGACCTGGGCGCGCAAAGTGCCTTGGTCCGGTGACTGGGGGAGAAGGGTGGGTGATTGATGAGTTTGGACCATGGGTTGGGAGATGTTGGGTGGGTTGGATGCGGGTGGGTGGGAGAAATCTGGAAGAAGTTTGGGTTGGAGGATTTCGATGGGAGTTTTGGATAGGACCTTGTTGAGAGAGCTCTCAATGGGGAACTAGTTGCATCTATTTGTAACACACGCACGTTCCAGTGTGTTTCAGTCACTTTTTTCCAAGCACATCTTCAACTACTGTTCGATGTTCCATGTAAAGCTTCACCCGCATCCACTGGGTGCCATTGCTTCCGCGATCATTCTGGCTTCTAAAGGGTACATCTAAGGACCATTAAGGACCTTTATATCCGACGAGATTTTTTTTTGTGTTTCTTGATACGACGATAGGCCGGTACAAGGCCATGTTGCCTGCAAAAGCAGCAGACTTGTCCCTTTGGGCAGATGCTTTTCCATGCAGATCCGACCTTTAGGGCCGAGCTCGATCGCGAAGAGACCGGGGCCCAGGTTTGATCTTCCCTTGGATCAACAGTCCGGAGCAGGCGCGCGAGGCTGTCGAGGCGAGAGGTGGGGTTGGTAGTGTGGGACTGGAGGAGCCGCAAAGGGACATGAGTCACTCGTGAGTCCTTGACTTTACGAGCCCGTCACAGTTTGTGGTTACATTAATATATGTGTACCTAATTACTTAATTTGTGTGTTCGAGCGGCGAGTGATAACGGCAAAAATATCACATTCCTAGCAGGTGACAAGGCAGAGTAACCCACTTTCGAAGGGAGAAGCATGTCGCGAATATGAGTACGGTCGGCGATGGTCTGATAGTCTGAAATGCACCGATCGTCAAACGGCGTCACTCGTTGACGTCGAATTGAATGACCCAAATCCGTCAAAGGAGGTCCGGGTCTTTGTGACGCGCTCTTGCAAGACCTGATGCAAGAAGCTACTGGAAAGCACGCTGCTGGATTTCTTCTGTATGAAGCATTAAACGTTTTTTCTTCGAAAAGACCAAACCATCGTAACGTCGTAACGCCATTTTTCTTATGCCGGAAGACCTGGGAAGCACGGTGGTGAAGGCGAACGACTTGATGGGCCATGACTTCATAGTAAGTCAAGCATCTGAACAATGTCCTGTGTGTCACGGACATCGACCTGGCATGACCTGGCCATATTTCACCTAAATATGATAATCAACATTGATAATCAACATTGATATGTTCATTGATATCTTAAGGGAGGGGTATCTCTTGAGAGGATTCTTCCTTCCTTTGTCTTTCGAGCTGCTGGTGACCATTCTCAAAACCTGGAGGCGACGCGGTATCCCAGCTTGGGAGGCATTCGTGGCGTGCCTTGGCGGAGAAATCGCCATCCGATTAGCCTCCAACTTAGGGGCAGAAGAGTCCAGATGCTGCATCTCAATGCTGTGATCTGGGAAGATATGGGGAAGATCACAACATAGACCTCGAGCCTTGTCAGACACCCCGGACCCATTGTGCTTAGGAATCCGAGAAAACTCGACTCGGCCCAGCTCCTCCGGCGTCCGAGGTGATGAGCTTGGCTCGCATGAACAACTACGGCGCACAGAACCCGCACTACTACAAGGTCCCGCACGACGCGGTTCCAACGGCCCCAGCGATGAGTTCGGGAATCCATGTCGAAGTCGGATGAGGTTCAGAACTTCGGATGAGATGGAAGGGACTGCCAGGGTTGAGGTTTTCTTGGGGTTTGTAGAAGGGGTTTCTCCAAGTGGTGGAGTATTCGCGAAGAGAGACCCTACTAAGTCGCTTTACAAAGCAAGAGCATACAGGCGCAATTTCTCGCAGTTTTAAGCTCTTGCTCATCGCAGTGCCTTCTGGATAATGATATGACCCAGCAGTCGAGAGTATGGGAAAGCTAAGGCGACGGAAAGTTGCAAGAAAGGACATGTTTTTCCATTGTGTTCTGGTAGCAATCTTCGCTTTCCCCTGTCCAAAATGATGCAGCCAGATTCCATCAATCAAGTCGAGAACATTAGTGCACCAAGGACAAGGACCCCTACATGTGGAACTCTACGGAACCCTATATCGTCCGACTGGGACAGTTGGATCATGAGGTTCAATGCGCATTGTTGGGTGGGCCTTTATGGCAGAATGCTTTCAAGCAGAATGCCCCTGACATCGAATCGATGCAGGTCACAATTGGTCGACTCAGGTCGTTGGATGGGGTTGATTTGCCTCTCGAATTGGGTGTATACCACTGAATGAAAGTGGAACCACTAGGAGGACGCTCGTACAGTGAGGTTTCTTCTGTGGACCTGAACAGATCTGAATTCGCTTTTGATATAATCACTTCTGTTCTTCCTCCTCTTTCATCCTCACCTTCCACTCCATTTCACTCGTTGTAACGCGGTTTCGACACTCATCACGACGTCTCCATCACCGGAGTGTGGCTCCAGGAGGCGGCCGGACAGATCTGCCGCCCGACGTGAAGCGATCGGCGGAGGGCACGGAGTGGTGGGGAGGCGGAGGTGGAGGTGCAGAAGCTGGGTCAAGGATGGTCCAAGTGGTGGAGATGGCCATGGTCAAACCATGCCATTTTTTTGAAGAGTTGGGTCATAAGTCAGAGACGTCGCGCTATGAATCGGTCGGAAGGGTCTTGATTGATGGGCCCTGGATGGCGAAGATCATGAAGGGACTATCAATAGTGGTCAGTTCATGCCAGTTCATTGTCATTTCCCTCAGAGACACAGGCGTTCACTGCCTCCCGCGCGGCCCGCTCATCCGTCTCAAATGCGCTGCGAAGCCACGGAAAAACCATGCCGAGGCAACATCATGCAGATCGAAACGGTGGAGGTCGCCATCGGCCCGCGTGGGAGGTTGTTTGGGACACAAGGAATTGAATTTATATATGAGCCATGACTGGGCTATGACCAAAAGATGTTTAGCTGTGATTGTAGTTCCATGTATGAGTATTGCTTGGCCCCTCAACCAATTGGCTTTCATTTGCTGCAGCCGCGAATCCTTTTAGATGTTTGCCTATCACAAATGTGTTGCACTGAGTTGTTCATTTCCATGCATGCGGGCAGGGCATGAGTCATACCGATGGTGCTTGATGTGTGAGATGTGGTGTTTTTTTCTTTCGTTTTTTGTTTAAGGCGGTAACAAGCTCACCTTGTCAAACAAAAGCAGGGGATCCCATTGAAGGGGTATAGTGAAGATGTTGAACTTGGATGATACTGATAGTACCTCAGAACAACCTTATGGAATACTGAAGTGGAAAATTGAGGTTTCATCTCAGTTTTCATCACACAGATAGATTCTACAGGCCTCAGATCCAGGACCTGCACAAACTTTTTTCATGCGGATTCTCCTGTCCTGTGGTCTAGGTCGTGAAGGGCATTCTCCGTCTCAGTCACACTGCCTCTGTAGGCGCTGGCCAACATTGAGGCCGTTCCGGCGGATGGGTCGGCTTTCAATTGTTTTCAAGAATGAGATCCATGTGGGTATACCCGGGTAAGTCTCAAACCAATGGGGGCTGCTGTACACCTGGAGTTCTGTTGTGAGACCTCTGGATATCTTTTCTCTTGATAGATCTTGAGATGTTTTGAGACGTTTTTTGAGGAGAACATTCTGAATCATATGGTACACGGTGCAAGACAACTCAGTTGACAGTAGGATTCGACAAGGCGATTCTTCCTGAGGAGTATGAGCCTGCTGCACAGAAGATCCTGTAGACACGTGCAAGGAGCACAGATGTGTGGTTGCATAGGATATGCTCTATGATGCACCCAGCCACCACAAAATCCGCCGTTTCCGGCATCCGGAAAAACACACCATCAACCAACTATGCTTGCAAGACTAGCAGGCACTCTCACCATCTCAGCATGGTCGGTTCCCCAGTGGTCCGCCCGTCCACACCGCCGG